GACGACCCCTTTTGCCTTTACCTTTTCCTTTGAAACTCCTCCGCATCCTCCTCCTAACACGACGCACTGGTTTTCGCGTGAACCTCCTCCACCTCCGCTTTGCCTGTTGAAATAACCAGAACAGGTGTTCGGCACGCTGATTGTCACTTTCCATGTTCATGATATCTGACCAATCTAAAGGTTCAACACCGTCTGAAGATATAGTCTCGGTGTCAGTGCCGGAGTCGAAATCGTCGTCTCCCAGGTAGGTGGATACGCCGTCGGTTAGGGGATTTGCTTCACCCCATAACGAGCGGTGTGGCTGAGGTTCTCTGGGAGGAGGGCTGGCTGCCCAGCTTGGTTGTGGCGATCCCCTGTTAGTAGGGCAGTAGACTCCAGGATCGTCGGCCCATATGCTTGAGGGCCCGTTGCCAGGCTGAGCTTCAGTGGTTAAGGTAGTGTAGACATTTCCACTGCCAGATCCCCTTCCCCTTCCAAACACTGATCCTATATTGCCAGGAGACCGTTCTGACAGATGGCCTATCGAACGCATCCTCTCCAGCAGCTCATCATACTGTTGTTGTGTTCGGGGCATTTGGTGCTTGAGTGGCTGTAAGAGTTGCATGGCTCGCTGGTTGCCAACGCCTAGGGCGCGGAATCGGATAGTAGTGAGCAGTTGGAAGTTGGGAAGGTCAAGCCCCACCGACTGTGCCTCAAGACGGGCCATCTCGAACCGGGTGAGGGTGACATCGATTCGTTCTCCGTGAGGCACATGAAAGTCGATGAGCTGTGTGCCTGAAGTGAGCTGGCGCTCATCTTCCAGGCGTTCGAACTTCATGCTTAGGAGGAACGTGATGTAGGTTACTGGGTCGGCGTGGACGCCATCGATGTCCGCACCGTAGTTTATAATGTCAGGTGGTACCCTCATGGCGAGTGTCCTCGCTAGGCCACCCAGGCCGCATTGTATGGCGGCCGCTTGGGCCTGTGGCGTCATGCGTCCACTTGTGACGTTGAGCCACGCGTTGGCCTCATAAACGTACTCGCGAAAAGGTACGTTGCCTTGAGGGTCCCAGTATGGGCCATGTGTTTGCCCATCGGTGCTGTTATCTCCACGGCGCATGTGTCCGATTGCTGCCCCCAGCGCGAACCATATGATGGCGAATATAACCAGCCCAAGGCTGCGAATATAGGGGTGGTTATTAGGCGCGTTGCCGCGCTGGGGTAGCGCCTTGACAAGTCTTCGGGGCGCTTTATCTTGCGGGTCTCCCCGCCTCTGCTTCAGGTACTGCGCTTTTGGCTCGTTGCCGAGCGGTTGGTAGTAGCGCAGTGATGAAGCGTATATGGTACCAATGTTGTTGTCTAGACGTCGTACCTCTCGTGTTGCTTCTTGCTATTGAAATGATCCTCGTAAATGTACTGGGAGTGGTGGCGCAGGGTGGTAGTTGGTCACGAAGATCGTGCCGTATAGCGTGAGGATAAGAAGAGCAAGAGCTGACCACACGAGAGTGCGGCCGGCTCCGCTACCAAGTGTGCAGTGACTATGGTAAGTCAAATAGCATCCGATTCCATGGGAAGCGGATGGCAAATAGCGTTCGGTATCGTACTGAGGTTGTTCAGTCAGAGGAATGGACGGATAAGATAGGATAAGATCGATGTAATGATCTTTCCAGCACATAGCGAACACAAGCAGTGTCCGGGCAAATAGGGCGCGCGTGCCTTGAGCCAAAGGCAACGGCGCGCGAGCTATACTCCCGATTCTATATAACATCTCCCAAAGAGCTACCCTTAAAGTTTCTACTTCGCGCGCGGGGGGCGGCCCCTGGGGTCCCCGGAGGAAAAGTACCCCGGCAGGGTCGGGTCAGAGATGGTTTTCCGTCTGGGCGCCGCCCTCGAGACCCTCCAGAGAGCCCAAAGAAGGGTCAAGAGGCCTCCAAGAGGCCACCAAGATGATACACGAGGGCTCGAAGACGCCATAAGATCGCTCCACGACGCCCAAGATGCCCCCAAGACGCCCCCAGAGGCTTCCAAGAGCACTCTCAAGAGGGCCCCAAGATGCAAAAATCACTGCTGTTCCTTAGGTTCTGGAGAGATTTTGGTGTTTCCACCTTTTCGGCTTCCCGACGCCCCAAGACGGCCCAAGAGGCCCCCAAGATCGCCCCAAGAGGGCCCAAGAGGCCCCGAAAAGGGCCCCAAGACGGCCCAAGAGGGCCCCAAGACGGTCCAAGAGGCCTCCAAGACGGCCCAAGAGGGCCCCTAGAGCGCCCCAAGAGCGGCCCCAGAGGGGGAGCACGAAACATTGCGAGCCCTCGGTCCTGAGAGGCCTCCAGGAAGCCCCAAGAGGCCCCTAAGAGGTCCCAAGAGGCCCCCAAGAGCCCTCAGGAGGCCCCCAAGATGCCCCCAAGAGGCTCCTCTTGGAGGCCCTAAGATGCCCCCAAGAGGCCCCCACGGGCCGGCGGCACGAGCGAAGCGATTCAATAATCCACTCGCCACTCAGTGTGCCAAGAGAGCCCCAGGAGAGCACCAAGGTAGGGAGTTCCCTGTCTCCTTCGGGAGACTCTTGGGAATCTTTTGGGCCCCTCTGAGGCCGCACTTGCGCCATCATGGGGCCGGTGTGGGCCGTCGTGCGTCTCTCTTCTACCGTTATGGGGCCCTCTTGGGAGCCGCCTGGGCCGTCTTGGGGGCTTCTTGGGCCGTCTCGGACGCTCTCGAGACCAAACAAGCGAATATGCTACAAGGTACGTCTTCTCAGAGGAATGGAGCGTTTTCTATCCCTGGAGGTCCTTAGTCTTGAAGCCATATTAAGCTCTCTTGAAGCGCTCTTGGGTCTGCTTGGGGCCTTTTTGGGTCTCTGTGAGGCCATCTCGGAGGTATCTTCGGCCTTCTCTGAGGCTTCTTGGGCCGTATATGAAGCTTATTGGACCGTCAAATCCCGAAAAGTACCTGCCGGTCCCCAGGACTAAAATTGGGTACATGTATCATGTGTATATATATATATATGTTTGTATACACACACCGTAACACATGTATATATGTATATGTGTGTATATCCGAGCATCACATGAGATGTCAGGTTTGACCGCTGAAATAATCACAAATCCAGCGAGTACTCGGACTGGACCGATCCTGAAACAACTGCCGCGCGCATGGCTAAGACGAAACAATGCACCACTACGTCAGACGACACCAGCACATGGACCCCACACACCAACACTGCGTGATGGGACGCATGGTGAATCATCATCGACATGTGCGTCGACGGCGCGCCACGCGGGCACGGCACGGCACGCGCACGGCACGGGTCGCGGCACACTCGTCTCACTGTGAAACGCGGGCGCGGAACGGCACGCGGGCACGGCACGGCCTGGCGCACGTGCCAAGCACTGCAGGGCACTCGGGCACGGCACGCCACCTGTTTCGCACTCCAGAGCGCCGGCACCGGCACTGCGGCACAGCCTTCGCATTCCGGAGCGCAAGGCACGGCACGGCACGCGGGCACGGCACGGCATGGCGGCACGTTGTGTTCCTCTCACTCTGGGAGCGCAGGGCACGGCACTCCACGCGGGCTCGGCACGGCACGGCAGGGCGGCACTCCACGCGGGCTCGGCACGGCACGGCACCCCACGCGGGCTCGGCACGGAACGGCAGGGCGGCACGGCGCGGCGGCGCATGTTTCGCACCATCGGCACGACAGGGCACGGGCACGGCAGGGCACGCAATGCACGGCACCGCACGGCACATTCCCGCACTCTGGACGCAGGCACGGCGCGGCACGCGAGCACGGCGCAGCACTTTTTGCGCAATTCCTCACCCAGACATGCGACGTCCTGATTTTGTCAAAACGGCGTTCCTGGAAGTCAGGACCCTTTCCCCGGGACCGGTTTTTCGTCCTGAGTCATCTTTTGACGGTCCCGAGGCCCGGCGAGGGCCCCCCCGAGGCCGAAAATAGCAACAACAGTAAATGCCGTCCTGATTTTTGAACGGCGCGATCATGTCTGGGCAAGTGAGACCCATTCAACAAAACGTTCAGGGAAACATATCAGCCCCCATGGCCCACACGGCAGTGGCCTGTTGGCATGCCTGTCGACGGTCTGGTAGGGCTCCTGTACTCTTCCAAGGGGGCCCCCGCCCTGCACCCGCTCGCGCAGCTCCACATGCCCCCACCTCCCTGAGGGCCCCTGGGCGCCCCGAAGCCCCTTCTCCCGACCACTCGTCCATCCTGAATCGATTTACAGAAAGGGCCCGACCACAAGAAACCTTCCACAGGAAGCCCACCCCTGGACCCCCAGGACGTCCGTTGCTGTGTTGTGTGGGCACGTCACGCTCTCCACAGCAAAACCATGGAGATCCAAGACACCCACGGCACCCTGGAGGCAAGCAGGGTGTTCCTCGGCAGGGGCCCCCACTGTCTGGCAGTCCTGAGAGGCCCGTGGAGCCGCTTCTCTCAGGACCCGCCCTCAAGACACCTTGCCAACGAGGTTGACCTCGCTGACTCAGCCCTAATGTGAAGGCTGGGGGACTACTTTCAGGAAGATCGATCCTTCGTATCATTCAAACCCATGCCACCACTCGGGAAGACCATGGTCAGGTGTATACCTATGAGGACCTCATGGCCATCCAGATCACAGGGGAAGGAAAAGAGGTCAGTGGAACCTCTCGGCCCCGGTGGGCACGCGCGCCCGGCTCGGGACGGGAGGAGCATCCGGCCCCAGGGACGGGGGCTGGACCTCTGGGGGGGCCGACGCCATAGCACCATGGCACAAACCACGACGTCGGAGGTCTGGGGACGGGGAGGAGGACGAGGGAGGAGGAGCGGGAGAGGCAAGACGCGGCGGGATCATTGAGGGCTGTCTGGTCTGCCACTCCACCGCTCGCTCCCCCTCCTGGCCAGAGCGGTGCTCGAGGCGCTGCCCTCTGCCGCCTGCGTGCTGCTCACACGCAGGCGTGCCGACGCTTCCGGTGATCTCCGCCTCGCAGCTTGCCTACGAGAGAGGCAGAGGCAAGAGGCCCCGCCCAGTGAAGTCCTTCAGGTCTGACGCGCCAGAGCTCGCGTGGTTCACCAGCGAGGCGACGCCGCGCTCATCCACCGACACGCCCAGCCACCACATATCCGATGACCTTCGGAGGAATAGGGGGGAGGCAAGGCTGATGACTGCTTCGCTGGTTTCGAACCATTGTCATATGCGTTTGTGTTTCTTCTTGGCCTCTGGAAAACTCCCGAAACATCTGGAACCTCTGGCCGCCCTGTGGAACTTTCGGAGACCTTCGGAAACCCCCGGAGACCCCTTGGGACTCCCGGGGAGGGCGGGGGAGGACGACGACGCGGGGGGAGGAAGGGGGAGGGAGGGGGTGGAAGAGAAGTGGGACGGGGACGTGGAATGGGCAGGAATGGGGCGGGGGCTCGTTCTCGGCCCGCCGACCGCGCGAAAGCTCAGGGAGTCTCCAGTCACAGCCTGCTCAACAGTAAGTCCAGGTGGTCCTGTAGCTGTTGCCTCAGCTCTCAATAAAATGTCGTGTCACTCAATGTTGCATGAATGGTTGACCTCCGCGTGCCCGGGGCCCTCTGCACCTCAGCCCCACCCAGCTTGGCCACTCGTCCCACACTCTCATGCTTGATGTACCCTACTGGTTTTGCACATTGTGCGGGGAGAGGCCACCTCAGGGGTCTCGCGGAGGAGTGCAAGTGCTGCAATGGAGAACTCCATCCGAAATGGAGGCATGGGTTAGAAATGCAGGGGGATAAGACGTAGCCATGGGAAGAGGAGGAGGAGGAGGAGGGGATAGACAGGGAACGGAGGATCGAAAGAGGGGATAGGGGCAGAATAAAACAATGTGGGGACAAGGCGTCTCGGTAAACTAAGGTGCTTCTTTCGCCGAGACTCGATATCTCGATCTCTCGACATCGAAGGCGGGGCCTGGCGGGGACTCGATATCTCGATGTCTCGGTTTCTCGATATAGTGGACCCAGCCAGGCGGGGACTCGATATCTCGATGTCTGGGGGCGGGGCCGTTTGGGGACTCGATATCTCGATATCTAGACATCGGGGGCGGGGCCAGGCGGAGACTCGATATCTCGATATCGGAGGCGGGGCCAGGGCATCTCGGTATCACAGCTTGTCGACATCCACTGGGCTGCTGTGGACATAATGAATTCAGATACATATCGAGATATCGAACCCTGGTATCGATATCGCCGATTGCATTCGCCGCCCTCCCAAGAGCAACGCTAGTCGTCGTCATCCTCCGAACCTTCAAAAACTTAGGCCCGCCCGAAATCCGCCACCGAGCCTCCTTGGCACGAAGTGGAGTGCCCCAAGGCTCATTTAGCACTGAGAGGCAGACGCTGTGCTGCAGCGCTGCAGCGAAAATTACGTCTTTGAAGGCCTGGACCCATCGTTTCCCAAACCTTTCTGGGGTTTTCCGGGCTAGCTCCCATGAGTCCTGAGATGTTTCCTGCGCCTCCTGCGAACGCACCCCCCAAGCGACATCCCGAACCCTCCCACGAGTCCAAGAGGGCCCCGAGGCGCCGAACGATCGTTCCAAGACGCCCAAGATGGCCTCAAGATTGCCAGAAAAGCCTCCAAGATGCCACAAGATGCCTCCAAGAGGTCTCTGGAGAGGGCCCCATGAGGCACAAGTCATTGATTTCCCTACGGTTTGGGGTTTTGGAAAGACTCTGGCGTTCTCACTGTTTCGACTTTCCGGAGCTCCAAGACGGCCCAAGAGGCACCCAAGACCACCCCAAGACGGCCCAAGAGGCCACCAAGATGGCCCCAAGACGGCCCACGAGCGACCCAAGACGACCCAAGAGGCGCCCACGACGGCCCAAGGGGGCCCTGGGTACACGCCGACAGGGCAAGACTTTCGGGTCGGGCTGGCGGGCCCTAACGGGCGGGCCCGGCGGGACATCAAAGTTTTGGACGCCCGAAATGGGTACCGAAAGAATGGGTACCATGCCCAACAGCAAATGTTGTCCCAAACCAACAGCGGCCGCTGTTGGGCAGGCGGCCTTCTGTCTCAAATGGACACAGGCCGCGGCGGCGCCGACAGCGGGTCCTGTTCAAAATGAACAGGACTTGTTGTTGGGCATTGTACCCATTCTTTTGGTACCCATTTCGGGCGTCCTGAAAAGCAGGTTGCTTATAGCTTTCGACAAGTCGACCCGGCGGACCCTTTCGGGCGGGTCGGGCGGCAGAACCGAACGAGCAGGTCCGGCGGGTCCAGCGGGCGGGCCCAAGGGGGCGGGCCGGGCGGACACGAGACACGAAGGCGGACGGGCGGGCTCCCAGACCATGGAGCCGTCGGGAAGCAACGGGCGGGCCGAGGATGCGTACGGCAGGTTCGTGTCGTGCCGACCCCAGCGTTGGTTTTTGACACCGCAGGGATCGTTCAACCTTGAACGAATGGCCGCTGCCGCAACGTCCGATCGTTCAACATCGATCGATTCTGGGTCGCCGGCGGCGTTCAACGTTGAACGTCGGCGGCGGGGTCGCCGCCGGTCGACACGACGCGAACCTACCGTATCCTGACAGGTGGGCCCTCAAGGGAGGGTCGGGCGGGCGGGCCCTATCGAACGGGTCGGGCGGGTGATACATTCAATGACGATGCTCGTGAATCTTCGGGCGAGAGCGCAATTTTCCAGCATTTTGCAACGACGTTTCGAGCGAGAGCGCGGTTCCTGACAACATTGCAACTGGAACATGAACGAGAGCACGACTTCAGAGAGACTTCGTAGGAAGAGAGAGTGCGATTCTCGAGTAAGCTGCGAGGAAGTCTCGAGCGCGAGCATTCCTGAGTAAGTCGAAAGTTTTCAGGCGGTAGCTGGTGTTGTCTTGTCGTAGCTGAGGGTCCAAGGGCACAGTTGGAGCCTCCATACTTTCTGCGACCGATAAAACACAAGCTGCTGGCGCGAAGAGGGGAAGACATTTCAAATGAACGGCACGATGATGACCAGTGGTGGAAAACATGTTAATATTGTTTGCTCTTCGGCGCTCGCGTGCCTCTCGACGTGTACAACTCAGATCCTCGACTCCCGCCCCCCTTCGCCTAGGAACATACCCTCCTTTGGGGGGGCTCTCTTTTCACGCAAACACCTGGGCAATCCCCGACACGGAACATCAAGCAGGTCGGGCGGGCGGACCCTAACGCCTAACGGGCACGTTAGGGCGGGCGAGCGGGCTTCCGAGCAAAGGAAAGGGCGGACCCTACCGGGCGGGTTGGGCGGAGGGGGAGGAGCGATGCCAGCTACAGCCGCCCTCCCTCGCCCTCCATTCCCTGCCAATTTGGACGCCCAAAATGGGAACGGAAAAATGGGTACAACGCCCAAAAACAAATGGTGTCAAACACCGACAGCGGCCGCTGCTCTTTTCGCAAAGAACGACGTCCGCGGCGGCGCGGACACCGAGCCCTGTTCAAAATGAACAGAAACAGCTGTTGGGCATCGTACCCATTCTTCCCGTACCCATTTCGATCGTCCCGAGCCAAAGCCGCCACACTGAGGTTTCACAAAATTATCCACGCGTCCAACTTTCGCAACGCCTCCCCCGTCTCCACTTATGAGCTATAGTCGCAGGGTCGCCGCTGTGTCGCTGTTCTCCTCCCACCCCCAGGGGTGGCTGGGAGATCTAGCCACTCCGCCCCCCTGGGGGGCCCTCGTCCTTCGTGGTTCTTCTTACCTCTAGTACTGCATCATCAGTCTGATCACCCCACAAGGCGGCTGCGATCGATTCGAACTCCGAAGCCGACAGTGACTGCGACAGGAGGAGCGATCGAGGAGGGAGGGGGTGGGCAGGGACGACAGGGGGAAAAAAGGAGGGAGACAGGGAGGGACGGAAGGGGACAGGGACGAGAGGGGGACACGAGGAGGGAGGGAGGAGGGAGGGGGACGCAGGGAGCGCAAGGGGGGGGGATGAGGAGGAGGGAGAGGCAGGGGCAGAGGACAGGGGGCGGGCGCACGTGGAGGGGGCTGCCGCGGGCTGTCCCCGCAGAGGCGGCCGACGGCCTCCTTTGCCCCCCGCACCTGGCGCGCTGGACCGCTCGCCCCTTCGGGAGCGGCCGCCCCTGGCGGCGGAGTGGCTGGGCGTGCACGGCTGCCTCGCCTCTGCCGCCCATCTTCCCAGGGCCCATCATCCTGCTCCCGGCCCCCTCCTCCTCTCCTGCCCCTCCCCCTCTTGCCGCTCCCGCGTCCCTCCCTCTTTCTCCCCCTCCTGCCCCCCCCCCCCCCGACCTCCTCCTGCCCCCTCCTCCCCCCCCCCCTTCCCCCCCGACCTCCTCCTGCCCCCTCCTCCTCCCGCCCTCTCCCTCCTGCCTCCTCATCCCGCCCTCTCTTCCTCCTGCCCGTCCGCCTCCCGCCCGCTCCTCCTGCCCGTCATCCTCGTCCTGCCTCCTGCCTCCTCCTCCTGCTCGTGGGCGAAGGGCGTCCTCCTCCTGCCTCCATCCTCCTGCTGGGCGAGGAGCGGCTGCCCCGAAGGCACCCCCGCGGCCACCCCGAAGGCCGCGCACCGAAGACCACTCTGGCGAATGGTCCTTCTTGCGTGCAGCCGGTCCTCGAAGAAGACACACCGAGAATGTTTCGGAGGTCCGCGAAGCGAAGGACCACCTCTGTGTGTATGGCCGAAGCAGGGCCAGAATCACAGAAGGGTGCCCTTCGAAAAAAGGGTTATTTCGGGCCCCGAAGCAGTGCGGTCACAGACCGTGCGGTGACCTCGGGATCACCAAAAAGACCTCAATGCACGGTCCGTCACCGCAGAAGAAAAAACGCCAGAGGCCGCGGAGGGGGAGGAGGAGATGGAGAGGAGTTACAGGAGGAGGAGGAGGAGGAGGAGGAGGAGGAGGAGGAGGAGAACGACGAAGGCGCCAGAGGAGCCTCCGGGCGGCCCCACGAGAAGAGGCATGGCGGGCGAGGCAGACACCGCCCCGCGGAGGAGGGCGGCGCCGGCCTGGTGAACATCTCCAGCGTCCCTAGGCGGGCGATGCCCCCCAGGCCGGGGGGGCTGCGGCAGGGCGGGGAGGCCGCGCGCGCACGGCCCCGCGCGCGCGCCGGCCTGTCGGGCCCTCGCGCCCGGCCTCCCCCGCCCCCGCGGCCCCGCGCCTCTCGCGCCTTCCGTGCCTCGGCCCCGCGCTTTTCGTGCCTCCGTCTTCTTCCCTTGTCGCGATGGCCCTCGTCCCCGTCTGCCCGTTCCCCCGCTGCCGCTTCTGCTCCTCCTCCTCCTCCTCCGCCTCCTCCTGTTGCTCCTCCTCTCCCAGTTGCTGTTCGGACCCTTTTCCTGTGAGGCTCAAGCGTTCCGCCAAGACGCGCGAATACCCATGGCATGTCGAACCGTGCTACCCAACGAAATGAAAGATGTCGTGGATGGCACACGAGCTGCCCACACTCACGAGCATCCACACGTTCTCAAACACAGCCGACACATCATGGCGCAACTCCACGGTGCCCACCACGTTTGTCAGCAACCAGCTTCACCCAATCTGGCATCAAACGTTGCTCGCGTGTGAACACGGGCATTGCTGTGTGTTCTGTTGTGTCTTCGGTGCAACATCGCGTAATCAACAGGTCACCGTCGACGGTGTAGCCAATCGAACATTACATGCAACGAAAAGCACAAACATGGCTTAACTGTGCAACGGGAAGGTCGGCGACGCAGCATTTCTACGATATAGAACACGTGCTCTTGGAACACAGGCACACTGATCCAGACTCGTCATCCGAATTCATTGTAGACTGTGTTAACATGCTGTCGGCGCTGCTGGTTGCAATCATGATCGATATATTTGAATTTGCCGTTTCTTATTCTCCAGAACGGAAAAATAAAACTAAGTTTCGAAAGCGCCGACCCCATCGGCGCCCACTTATCCGAAACTCTCCAGAAGGCCTGGAGGCTGGCCGAAGACGAAATATTTGTTCTTCAACCAGGCGTTCAACCAAACGCTATATCCCACAACAGTGCCAGCTGCAGTGGTTGGGTCCAGCGCCGCTGTCCGATAGTCCCGATGCCCCCCCATGCGGCACCAATCTGTCCAAATGGTCGGCATCGCCGTCGCTCGAATTGCCCCTGTTCGCGTCAACCACCCCCCTCGCCGCGTACACGCGGCACGCGCAAGACAACCTAAACAGAAGCGTAGGGCATGCGTGAACGCACGAACTCGGAACCTCGACTCAAAGAATGCTCCGTCGAACCCTCGCCGCCGCAATCTTGACAGAACTGGCAACGACCGGCGTCGTCCTGAATGCCGTTACGTGGGCCGCCCGTGGCACCGCGCGCCGATGAAACCAAATGTCACGCATGGAAGCACGTGGTTCCGCAGGGTCGACGCCATCTCCACAGCGACAACAGCCGCCCTCCTCGCCTCGGCTTCAAGATGTCACCGGCCCGACTTCTGAGCAAGTTCCGTCACCAGCCGAAAAGATGCATGATGGGGAAACAAACTTGCAAGTCCCCTTTGGAAGTTAGCTGGTTCTCGCACTGGGGCCACCAATGCTGGGGCCGCCCGAAATCTTGAATCCACCCAAAGTCAACGAATCAAGACATACTTTCGGCCGCGTGACAACGCGCTGCCTTTGCATTCGATGCGCGGGTGCACACATCATGAATCGGAGGTGAGGAGGTGAGATCGCATGGGAACGGAAAACCCCCGTACCGGGAAATCGGTTTCGGTTTCGTGTTCGTGCGTGCCGTGCGTGCGGGCGAGGCGAAGCTGCGTGTGCGGGCGAGAAGAAAGTCTCCTCCGGCTGAGGCGCGACCGGACCAAATGTTTCCTGTCCAGGGGCCGGTGCCGCGCGGTGTCCCGCCGGTGTTCCGCCTTCGGCTGAGGCGCGGCCGGACCAAATGTTTCCTTTCCAGGGGCCGGTGCCGCTCGGTGTCCGGCCGGTGTCCCGCTGGTGTCCCGTCGGTGTCCTGATGATGATGAAGATGTCGATGATGTTGACGATGGTGATGATGGTGATGGTGGTGATGATGATGGTGTCCCGATGATGATGATGTTGATGATGATGGTGATGATGGTGGTGATTGTGATGGGGTCCCGAATGATGCTGCTGATGATGTGGAAGATGATGTTGCTGATGACGATGATGGTGTCCCGATGATGATGATACTGATGATCATGATGATGTTGATGATATGAGATTGTGATCTGATGATGACGATGATGATGATGGTGTCCCGGTGGTGATGATGATGAGGTTAATGATGATGTTGTTTATGATAATGATGGTGATGATGGAGATGATGTCCTGGTGACGATGCTGATGTTGTTGATGATGATGATGGTGATGTTGATGATGATGATGTTGATGAGGATGAGGTAATGATAATGATTTTGATGATGGTGGCCCGATGATGATGCTGATGTTGACGATGATGATGATGATGATGATGATGATGATGATGATGATGATGGTGTCCCGATGATGATGATGATGGTGGTGATGATGATGATGATGATGGTGACGATGACGATGGTGTCCCGATGATGATGGCGATGATGTTGATGATGATGATGATGATGATGATGATGATGATGATGATGTTGCTGATGATGATGATGGTGTCCCGATGATGATGATGATGATGATGATGATGTTGGGGATGTTGTTCATGATGGTAGTGAGAGGATGATGATGGTGGTGTTCCGATGATGATGAGGCTGGTGCCCCGATGATGATGTTGTTGATGATGATGATGTTGACGATGATGGTGTAAGATGATGATGATGATGAGGATGATGAGGATGATGATGAGGTGATGATGATGATTTTGATGATGGTGGCCCGATTATGATGATGCTGATGTTGCTGATGATGACGATGATGGTGTCCCGATGATGATGATGGTGGTGATGATGATGGTGACGATGATCATGGTCTCCCGTTGATGATGGTGATGGTGTTGATGATGATGTTATGATGCTGATGATGATGGTGTCCCGATGATGATAATGGTGTTGGTGATGTTGTTCATGATGATTTCCGATGATGATGAGGATGGTGTCCCGATGATGATGATGTTGATGATGATGGTGTCCCGATGATGATGATGGTGATGATGTAAATGATGATGGTGTCCCGATGATGATGATGTTGATGGTGATGATGATGATGGTGTCCCGATGATGATGATGTTGATGACGTTGATGACGATGATGCTGATGATGATGATGATGATGACGTTGATTGTGAGATCGATAGTGATATCGATAGTGAGATCGGTAGTGAGACCGAATGTGAGACCGAATGTGAGATCGATTGTGAGATCGATAATGAGATCGATAGTCAGATCATGTCCGTTTGCTATACGCGTGACGACGACGGAAAGGAGAGCGCGGGCCGCAGAGAGCGCGTGCGCGCGGCCGTTTCCTCATGCGCCTCGTGATCCACGAATGCTCAACGAAACAACTCCGTCCTCACCATCGATCTTCGGGGAAACTGACGGGGGAAGGCAAGAGCGGGGAAGGGAACGCTCGAGATGGTCCCACGGGACCAACCCACAAGACCAACGGCGGGGTTACGGCTCAAAATAAAAGGCGTCTACTCCGAGGGAGAAAACACGTACTGTCTCAAATGGACAACACCCGAAACGGTACGAACAAAACACCCAGTGCAAAATGGTTGGCTGATTGCGGCGCGATCGGATCACGTACTGTCTGGTCGGTCACTGGTTGGTGGCTTGGTTCGTTGGTTGGTACATGGATTGGTTGGTTCGTTGGTCGGTTGGTTGCGGCGCAAAATGGACAGAAACTGTTGCCAGGCTTCGCCCCCATTCGTTCCGTGCCCATTTCTAGCCTCGTCCACCTCCACCTCCCGCCGCTGCTCATCTGGAATGCTCTCCTCACAGTACGAAGTCAGACATCCTCGTTTAGAGTCTGGAGGCCTCCCAGATGGGGTCAGAGTACAAGGGGTCGGAAGATCTCGCCGCACCGCCGATGCATCGGCGATGCACTGGCGACGTCGGCATGGAGAAAATCGGGCTTCACATCGAGCCGCATCGCCGGTGCATCGCCGATGCGACCCCACCTGCTCCGACCCCATCTGGAAGGCCCAGAGCCAGACGCCCTCTGCTCTGCCTCGGCGCACGGGGCCTGGGGCACTCCCGGGGCGCCGGAGACCACCAGAGCGGCCGCAGGCAGCAGTGACCTTCAGCGCGCGGCCTGCAGGCCGTTGCACGCGATGCGCCAACCGCGGCCTGGCTGCCTGGGTCTGCCCCCCGCAAGAAGAGGCCAGGGCCAGGGCAACATCGGACTGGGGCAAGCCGGGGATCTCTGACATCCGGCGGTTCTGGAGGATGTCACGGGCGCGGCGGTCGTTCCAGAGCGCTGCGGGACACTCTGAGAGCGTTCCGGAAAGCACTGGGACGGTTCATCCTTGTCCTGAGCCTGCCCGACCCCCTGCCCCCCGCCGCCCCCCGCGCCACCCCCCCCCGAAAGCCGCACAGCAGAAGGTGCGAAGGGTTACGCTGACGTGTAGCCGAAGAAAGGGGAGGGCCCAGGGGGAGGAGGAAGAGCACCAGGAAGCTGGAAGCACGCATGGCTGTATTCACGTGCGGAACATCCAGAGGCCACTTGCTGGAGACACATGTGGAGGGACACCTTGCCTGGCCGCATAGAGGACCGAGTGCTGGAAAGGCATGCGACCCGCGTGTCATTCCAGCTCTGGCCCAGGCTGGCCGCATCATATGCACCCAACTTCTTGCAGGATCGAGTCAGTCGGACGCTTTCGGCCTCCATTGGTCTTGATGACCTGGATAAGCACCGCGGAGAAAAGAACACCGACGGCGCACAAACGGGCACATGGCCCTCGAGCGTTGGACCGCCTCACATCTGTGAGAGCCTCGCTGGCTCGACAAGCGGCCACGCCGCCGCGGGCACGACGACACAACGATCCGGGTGCAGTCCAACTACTATCTTGAGGAACGCTGATCCTGGAACGAAGCCCCCTTTTCGGCCTCAAGGGCGCCCGGATGCACGGGGAGAGCTCGAGGAACACCAATTCTCCTTGATCGCCCGACGCTCCTCGGCGTGCTCCGTACTCTCGCACCTTGGGTCGGCCAGGAACGCGCCGGTAGACTCGCAGACGTAGTCCGCCCCGTACTCTTGGAGGGGGAGCTCGGCCAGGTCGAGGGCGCCCGGCAGGACCGCTTTGTGGCCTTAGATCACCGAGGAGTCCGCGCCGCCCTCGACGGCGCCGACGTGTCGGCCGTGGAACGCGTCGTGTTTCGACTGGTAGGCTCGGCGGTGAGCGAGGGGGGGAAGTGAGAGGAAGAAGGCCTTCTCAGAAGGCCCGGCAGTCCCCCAGCCTTCAGAAAAGTTTTCTGAGCCTTCCCCGGAGACAAGAAATGCTTCTGGGAAAGCGCGAGGGCTTCTGAGAAGTCCCGCCGCCTTCTGAGAAGACCCTCTCCTTCTCATTTCCCTCCCTCGCTCGCCGCTGATAGGCGGGACCCTCGGCGACGTAGCACGCGTCCACGAGCTTCCGCTCTGGCTCCGGGTCCTTCGTGACGAGGCGGGCCGCCCGGCGCACCGGTGCGCCCGAGGCCGTCGTATGCAGGCACTGACCACCTGCCCCATGCCACCTGGGCGGAGGGGCGCCATGAGGCTCGCGGCCGCGCCCATCGGGGAGTGACACACGTACACTCACAGCAGTACAGCAGGGACTCGACCACAAGAAACCTTCCACAAGAAACCCAACCCTGAGACCCCAGGACCTCTCCATAGCAAAACCATCGAAAACCAAGAAACTCAGGGCACCCTGAAGGCAAGCAGGGTGTCTCTCGGCATGGGCCCCCAATGTAACACTGATGGCGTTGGGCTCCATCTTCGCCTCCCAGGTCGCATACCCCAGCGCTGCAGATGGTCCGGCGCATACCCTGTCGACGCGCATACCCCAGCGCTGCAGATGCTCCAGTGCGGGCCCATGGAATGGCAACCAAGAAGGCTTCCTGTGCTACAGGTGGCAACCCACACATTGAATATATTATATGTGTCCTCGAAATCGCACTGGCTGCCCGGCATTGTCCTACAAACTCGCGCACGTACACTGCTTCGTATGATCTTCAACAGCGCGACAGACCGATCCGAAAGAAGCCAGGACATCCTGCTGAGTCGCGAGAAAATCTCTCATATGCTGATATACCCAAGTTGTAACTGAGTTGGCTCAGCTCCACCTTGCTCTCCCGAACCTCGCTGAGCAGCAATAACGCTGGCCACCACTGGCCGCATCTCTCGCACGCGTAGATACAAGCGTTGTAACTGATGACGCAGGGCTCTAACCTACACTCCCGCATCTCGCTCAGCAGCGCCAAAGCCTGCTGCCACTGCTCACCCTTCTCGCACGCGCTGATCCCAGCGTTGTAGCTGACTAAGGCTGACCTGTGGACTACCGTCCACGATTGCTAATGTATTAGGAGGGCGCATGCTGCTGCGTAGTGCTTCAGGGCGAGCTGGGTGCTCGATGATCCTGTCGGCGCCGAGAGCATCGTTTGCAGCAGCATCGGATATGGCAGCATCGGCAGTAACCCGGGAGGTGGGTCGAGCGACGTGACTGGCAAACGACGGCAGCCGCTGTGCAGAGGGAACCGTGGGCAACGAGGAGAAGGAGGTCGAGGAAGGGAGTGTAACCTGTACGCAAAAACAATACCCCGCGCCTCCTGGAACACGCGCCGTGCGGGAGTAGTCCCAGAAAAGCGTTCCAGGGCGATGGCGGTTCGGTCTGACAGATGTTTGTTCGGCCGTCCCTTTCCAGCCCAAGATGGCCCCAAGAAAGCTCCAAAGGGGCCCCAAGACTGTTCCAGAGGGGCCCCAAGTGAGCCCCCCAGAGCTCCAGACGCGGGGGGAAATCGGCTAGAGCTCTCAGGGGGCCCTCAGCCCCCATAGGATCCCCTCAGGAGGACCCAAGACTGCCCCAAGAGGGCCCCAAGAGGGTTTGAGAAAGGCCCAACAACTTGTCACGAAAAGGGGCCGTCTTCGTGACAAGTTGTAGGCCCCTCTTGTGGCCCCAAGATGGCCCCAAGAAAGCTCCAAAGGAGCCCCAAGACGGTTCCAAGAGAGGAGGGAGTCCACCTGTGAGCAACAAAAACAATACCCCGCACCTCATGGGACACCTCTTCCTCGGGAGGGCTTGCCAAAAATTCGTCCGGGCCCTCCCGCGGCACCCAGGGACGCTGTTTTCTGAGGCCTCTCTCGCACGCCGCGTGTCCCAGGAGGCGTGACGCGGCGTGAGGTACGATGCGAGAGGTGTCCCAAGAGGTGTGGGGTGTGTGTTTTTCCAATCCGACGGGGCTTCAATGACATAGGAAATTGCAGGGCTTCCTGGGAGTCCACCCGAGCCACGGTGGGCCGAATTCGGAAACCTTGGGCGCCGTGCTGGGCCAGATGGGGGGGTTGTTCCAGAGTTGGCCTTCTGGGGAAGCTTCTCGCGGGCCTCTCGGAGGCAGTTTCGAAGCCTTTTGCGAGCCATTTGGCGGCATCTTGGGGCCTCTTGAAGGCGTCGTGAGGCGGAAGCCTGGGATCTTGGGTTCGAGGTCCCCCTCTTGGGGCCGTCTTGGGGCCCTCTTGGGCCGTCTTGGGCGCGTCTTGGGCCGTCTTGGCGGCCTCTTGGGCCGTTTTGGGGGCCTCTTGGGAGCCTCTTGGGCCGTCTTGGGGCGGTCTTGGGGGCGTCTTGGACCGTCTTCAGCGCCATGAAAGCCGAGAAACCGTATATGCTCAAACTGTATGAAAACCGGAAAAAATATGATTTTGGCCTGTTGGGGCCCTCCTGGGACGCCACTTGAGCGTCTCTTGGGCCGTCGTGGAGGCCTCTTGGGCCGTCTTGGGCTCTCTTGGGGCTCCCTGGAAGCCACCGTGGGCTCTCTGGGGACCCGCGTGGACCGTCCCCACGGGTGGAGCCGCCGAGGTGCCGCCCCCCAAGGCCCCGCCAAAGTGCCCCTAATGGCCCTTCTCGCACGCGCAATGCCCGGTATTGTAAATTAGATAGGGCGAACCCGTGGACTTCGTCCACGACCCGCAGGTCCCCCTGGCGGGCCTCCACGTTGGGCCCCCGCCCAGGAAAAAGCCACCCCGAAGCCTTCGGTTATTACGTTTTCTGGCCGCCATTCCGAAGTTGGAAGGCGAGCGCTTCCTCCTCTTCGTCCGCCTTCCGCTCCACGTCCGCCTGGACAGCCTTCGGAGCATCACAGACGGCTACGGTGGGTCTGCGGTGTGCCTCCCGCCGCTTGTCTGCTCCCCCTGGTTTGAACCATTTTGAGAGCGCCTGGGGCCGAGAAAAAAGTCACCCGAAGGGCTCTGGTGACTTATTTTTTTCCGGTTGACTTTTCGAAGCCTGATAGCAGGCGCTGCCTTCTGCTTGGGAACTGTTTGGGGGCCTCTCGGGGTTCCTTTTCGGCCTCCTGTGGGCCTCTTGGGGCCCTTTTGGGCAGTCTTGCGGCCTACTGCGGTCCTCTTGGGGTCCTCTTGGGCCGCCTTGGGTGCCTCTCGGGGCCGTCTGGGGCCATCTTAGGCCGTCTGGGGGCCGCCTAGAGGCCCTCTGGGGCTTTGTACTTCACACCGATCGCTTTTTTAATGGGCGTCTCTGGGCCTGCTTGGTGGTCCGTGTGGGGGTCTTCTTCGGGCAATTCTGAAGCTCATTTGGGCTGCTCTGGGAGCGTTTTGGGACGTCTTGGGGCCATTTTGGGCCGTCACAGGGCGTCCGGGAGGCCTTGGACCGTCTTGGAGCTCTCTTGAGGCTGCCTGAGGCCGTCTCGGGAGCCTCTTGGGGCCCCCTCGGAGCTCTCTTGGGGATGTCTTGGGGTTCCGTGAGGCTGTTTCAGGGTTCTCTGGCGTCGTCTTGGGGCTCTTGTGGGCCGTCTTGGAGCCCTCTTAGGGGCTGCTGGCGTCTTCTTGGGGCGCTTTGGGAGGCCTCTTGGCGTGTCCTGGGCCGCTGAGGAGCGCACAAGGTGGGCATGCTGAAAATATACGTTCTCCGATGGGAATTCGACGACTTGTGCCTCTTTGGCGTGCGCTCGGGGCCCTCTTGGGGCGTCTTTGTGGCCTCTTGGATCGTCGTGGAGCCCCCCCGGAAGGCTTCGGGCCCTCGTGGGCCGTCTCGGGACCCACTGAGGCCGTCTCGGAGCGCTCTTGGACGGTCTGGGAACCCCTCTGGAGCGCCTCTGGGACCAGCCTGAGTGATTCGGCCCCGTGGTGGCGCCGCAAAGGGGTGATTTTGTGCACTTGAGGCCCTGGGCTTCTCGCACGTGCTTCCACCGGCCATGTAGGAAAGACTTGTGTGAACCCGCAGGTCAAGGTGTCGGTTCCGAATGCGCACGTGTGGCCGAGGCCTGCAGGAGGGACGCTCGGGTCTTGGGGCTGTCTTGGGGGGCCACCGATGGCTCTACGAGGGAGGTCCTCCCTGTCACCCCTACTCGGCCGCAGGGGGGAAGCGAGATGCCCGTCCTCGCAGTGCCCGCGGGTCCCCACCCCCCCTACCACCCCTAATCGGCCGTGACGGGGGAGCGACCGAAGTGGCTGCAGGTCCCCCATGTCACCCCTGACAGGCGGAGAGAAGGCCCTGGAGCGGCTGGAGCCTCGATGAGGCAAGGATGAAGAGATCAGAGGGGAAGGTTCCCCCTGTCACCCCTAAGCGGCCGGATGGGGGGTCTTGAGGCAGACTCTGGGCGATGTCGGAGTGCTCCTGGGATCACTCTTGGGAGCTCCGTGGGAGCTATGGGAGTCTCTTTCTGGGAGAGCTATTGGGGGCTCCGTCGTGGGAACTATCAGAGTATCTTGGCAAGTGTCGGAGAACTGTGGTCGACCCTGGGGCATCTCGGAGTGGTCCTGGGACCGCTCCTGGGATCTCCGTGGGAACTATCGGAGTCTCTTGGGAGGCTCTGGGGCATCTCGGAATGGTCTGGGGCCAGCCTTGCGGGTCTCGGGCTTTCTGAGGGCGCTTGGGGGTCGAGGGACGGCGAATGGCCGCCGTGGCTCGATGCACTCTACTTGGGAGCTCCTGGGGCATGCGGGAGTGGTCCTCGGAGGGTTCTTGGCACTTTGGGGGCTGCGGGAAGGGCGTCGTCTGGGCTCCCTTCGGCCCTCCTTCGAGCCCTCGTGGGAGCCTCTGGAGATCCTCTTGGCCCATGTTGGGGCTTTCTTGGGCCGTCTCGAAGGCCTCTTGGGCCGTCCTGGGGCCGTGTAGGGAGTCTCGGGCCGTCTTGGAGCTCCCGTTGGTGCCTGTTGGGCAGCTCCTAGGGCCCGCCTGGGGCTGTGGGCCACCGGGGACTCCATTATGAGGTTGTCTTTGGCTTCTCTTGGGCAGTCGTCGGGCTCTCTAGGGCCGTCTTACGATCTTGGGGCGATCTGGTATGGCCCTGGAGCCGTCTGGGGCCTTGGCCCAAAATGGCGAGATCAAGGATAACATTCGAAACATCTAAGAACATATGTGACTGTGGCCTCGGAGGCACCTGGCCCGTCATCGGGCCGTCTTGGGCTGTCATAGGGGCTCCGTTCGGGTTCCCTTTGGCCGTCCTCACGAGCTCCAGAGCGTCTCGGAGCTGTCTTGAGGCCACCTAGGGGCTTTCTGGAGCCGTCGGAGAGTGCCGAGACGCTTCGGGCGCTCGGGGGCAGCTTGCCAACTTTTCGTCCCCTTCGCACGCGCAAGGACCAGAATTGTAGTACAGATGACGTCGGACTCGAACTTCGCTTCCCGCATCTCGCTGAGCAGCGCCAGAGCCCGCTGCCACTGCCCGCCTTTCTCGCACGCGCTGATCCCAGCGCTGTAGCTGACTAAGGCTGACCCGCGGCCTTTCGGCCGCGGAATCTGCCCGCCATGGCGCGGACGCGGAAGTGGAGCGTCTCCGGGGCCTTGCGGTGGGGGTGTCGGATGCCTCAAGACAGGAACGCCGCGGCGGAGGAGGCGGAGCGTCCCAGGACAGACCCAAGGGTGGGAACTACCAAGGGGCTTTGTAGTGAGCACCCGTCGCTCTGGCACCAGGGTGCTGGGAAAGGGTCGGATGGTCTCGGAGGGCTCTAAGAAGGCGCTCCAGGGAGGCGACAACCAGAAGGCGCTGTAGTGACCGGCTTGGGTCCATCTTCGGGGCGTCTTGGGAATCTCCGGAGGCGTTCTGGGGCCGTGCGATCTTGGGTGCCTGTATGGCAGTGTCGGACGCTTTGAAGACACGGGCAGGGGAAGAGCGCAAGTTGCCGCTTTCCTGAGGGATTGGGGCATGTGTCTCCGCGTTCGAGCTCTATTGGAGCGCTGCTTCGAGCCCAGATGGAACATCTGGGAGCTGTCTCGGGCCTGTGGAAGATATCGTGGGCGTCTTCGAGCGCTGAGGCCGTCTGGGATCGTCTGGGAGGTATCACGGGAAGCTCCTGAGGCGGGTAGGAGGTATCCTGGGAATCGGGTGGCCGTCTTGGGCTGTCTAGGAAGCCTCAGGGCCTTCAGGGAAAGCCGCCACCGTGGGGCCGTCTAGGAAGCCTCATGGCCTTCGGCGAAATCCGCCACCGTGCCTGTGCCTGGGTAATGGCTCAGAGGCCTCTGGGGTCCCGCTTGGAGGCAGCTTTGGGGCCACTTGGGGGCCGTCTTGGGGCCTCGTGGGGCTTGCGTTGGGCTTCTTGGGGGCCTCTAGGGACCTCTTGGCGTTCCCTTGGGGGGGTCTTGGGGCCTTGTGTGGGCGTATGGGGGCCCAGGGCTCGGAGTGTCAGGGTTTTTCCCCGTTCTTTGGCCCCCTCTTGGGCCTGGCTTGGGGTCCTCTGGGGCCGTCTTGGGCGCCTCTTGGGCCATCTTGGGGCTCCCTGGGCCGTCTGGGGACGCGCTTGGAGGCCTGTTGGGCCGTCCTGGGGCGGTCTTGTGGGTCTCTTCGGCCGTCTTGGAGCGTCGGCTAGCCGAGAAGGCGAGAAGGCAAAACTCATTCAAAAACCATGGAACAATGAAGGATTTTGGCGCCTGGGTGCATGCTTCGGAAGACTGTCGGAGGCCCTTGGAGTCGGAGGACTGTTGGAGGCTCTTCGAAGCCTCTTGGGCCTTGTTGGGAACCTCTCGGTGGCCTCTTGGACTCTCCGTGGAGCCTCTTATGGGGTCACTTGGAGGCCGTCTTGGGGCCTCGTGGGGCTTGCGTTGGGCTTCTTGGGGGCCTCTAGGGACCTCTTGGCGTTGCCTTGGGGGGGTCTTGGGGCCTTGTGTGGGCGTATGGGGGCCCAGGGCTCGGAGTGTCAGGGTTTGTCCCCGTTCTTTGGCCCCCTCTTGGGCCTGGCTTGGGGTCCTCTGGGGCCGTCTTGGGCGCCTCTTGGGCCATCTTGGGGCTCCCTGGGCCGTCTGGGGACGCGCTTGGAGGCCTGTTGGGCCGTCCTGGGGCGGTCTTGTGGGTCTCTTCGGCCGTCTTGGAGCGTCGGCTAGCCGAGAAGGCGAGAAGGCAAAACTCATTCAAAAACCATGGAACAATGAAGGATTTTGGCGCCTGGGTGCATGCTTCGGAAGACTGTCGGAGGACTGTTGGAGGCCTTTTGGGCATTGTTGGGGGCCTCTCGGGGGCCTCTTAGGCGCTCCTTGGAGCCTCTTGTGGCCACTTCGGCGCGTCTTTGGGCGAAGGGCTCGATGTGTGACTCTCGGGGGCCAGGATCTTCGTGAGGGGTGTGGAAACATGGCCCTCCAGGGGGCGCATCGGTCCACATGCGCTGTTTTGACGTTCTGGCACGCGCTGATGTCCGCCATAGAAAAGAGATGACATTGGGATCCAACGTCGCCTCCCGCATCTCACTGAGCAGCGCCAAAGCCGGCTTCCACTGCTCGCCCTTCTCGCATGCGCTGATCACAGCACTGTAACTGACGAGGTAAGATTGAAGCTTCGCTTCCCGCATCTCGCTGAGCAGCGCCAGAGCACGCTGCCACTGCCCGCCCTTCTCACAAGCGCTGATCCCAGCGCTGTAGCTGATGACGTCAGAGTCAAGCTTCGCTGCCCACATCTCGCTGAGCAGCGCCAGAGCCCGCTGCCACTGCCCGCCCTTCTCACAAGCGCTGATACCAGCGCTGTAGCTGATGACGTTGGGATCCAACGTCGCTTCCCGCATCTCGCTGAGCAGCGCCAAAGCCCGCTGCCACTGCTCGCCCTTCTCGCATGCGCTGATCGCAGCGCTGTAGCTGACTAGGGCAAACCCGTGGACTACCGTTCACAAAACCGCACTCGCACGCAACTTGAGGAGTGTAGCGCATACACGGGGATCAACTCATCTTCTAAGAGAGCCACGTTGGCCGCTACATGGCACGGAAACACAGCGAGTCATGTCACAACAAATCATCAGATACGACACACCCGTTCGCGACTGGGCACTGTAAGGGAGCGCGCTAGGACGCTCTCGACACGCTTCAGCTGGCGGCGGAGTCCGAGTGGGTCCGCCAGGACGGGCAGTCGATCGGACCTTTGACTATCTGGCAAATTGCGGAGTCCAGTCGGACGCAACCCAAACCAACCATGACGGCAACGAGAAAATGATTGAAACAAAGACTTCGCATGCAAACTTGCCCGGCAAACTAGATGAGAAGATGCCGCCCAGCTACAATGATCCCGCTCAGCTACCAAGTCGCTGAACAGCTATAACACGTACATGCCACGCTTTATCGCACGTTCCGAGTCCAAGTTCGTAGCTGAGTCGGGTTTCCCGCAGATGAGACTCAAGGATAGCAGATGACACAATCATTATTAGGTCGGTCTTGGGCTGGTATGAGGAGGAGGCCCAAACCAATTCACATTTTAGATTTTCGATGCGCGTGGCCGTCTTTTGGGGCTGACAAAAATGGGGAGGCCGTCTTGGGACGTATTGGGATCACCTTGGGGCAACCTGGAGCTGCCCTGAAGCGCCTCGGAGCTCTTGACCCACTTCGGGCTGTCTGGCAATGGCTTCGAGGGTCTCCGCCGGGGGCCGTGTTGGGCCGTCTCGGGGCCGACTCAAGGCATTCTGGGGCTATCCTGGATGCAGCTTGGGCTCTCAGAATCTGTCCTGGTGCGGTCTCGCCGGCCCTCTTGGACCAATCTTTGGGGCCACCCGGCGGGCTCTGCCGTCCCAACCCCACAGCACCATGCTCTCGCACGCACTGCGATAGAACAGGCATGCGGTCGGGCTCCAAGCTCGCCTCCCGCACCTCGCTCCTCGCTCAGGGCCCTCTTGGGCCGTCTTGACGCCCTCTCGGGGCCATCTTGGGTCAACTGAGGCTTCGCCTGGGTCGTCGTCGGGGCTTCTGGGGGCCCTCTTGGGCACTCCTAGGGCCGACTTGGGCTATCTTGGAGGCTTCTTGGTTCACTCTGGGGCACTGTTGGGCCGTCTTGGAATATTTCTAGGGCAATCTTGGGCCTTCTTAGGGCTCTCTGTGGGAACTTGCAACCTGCGCGAAGCCCACATGAAACAAATTGTCTGGAGCCTCTCTTGGTGCCTCGGTCCTCTCTGGGAGCCTAGCCAGTTGTCTGGAGACTTTCTTGGCGCCTCTGTGGTCCTCTCTTGGGGCCTGCTGTGCACCCTGCAACGCATCTTAGGGCCTCTTTGACCGTGTTCGGGCGATATGGGGATCCCTGAAGCCGTCTCTGGGGCCGCCTTGGGGCGCAAAAAGCCCGTTGGGTGGTCTGGCGCCGCTGGCCCGCTTGCGATCGATGCTGCCACAATGCGCCTTTCTCGCACGCACTGGTTCCGGCATTGTAGAAAAGACCACGTTCGGCTCCAACCTCGCGCCGCGCATCTCGCGGAACAGCGACACCGCCCGCTGCCACTGCCTCGCCTTCTCGCAGGCGCTGACCCCGGCGGTGTAGCTGATGACGTCTGGCGCCAATCTGGCCCCCCCAATCTCCGTGAGCAGCGCAAGCGCCTGCTGCCACAGGCCACCCTTCTCACACGCGCTAATCCCGGCACTGTAGGTGACTGGCGCTGAGCCGTGGACTCGCCCACGACGGATTGCCCGAAGGCATGGGTGAGGCTGGCTGTCCTTCCTGGCTGCTTCCGTGGCTACTGGCCTGGTGGCCTGACAGCTTGCAGCCTGCTTGCATGCTGTACATATCAAGTGCTCGTCAGCACGGTGCGACTAGCTGCGGCTCGCTGCCGCTTGCTGCTGCTAGCTGGATATGACGGATGCTTGCCGTTTCACGTTGCTGCTCGTCGCTGCTTGCAGCTGTCTGCTGCTGCTGCTGCTGCTGCTGCTGCTGCTGCTGCTGCTGCTGCGGTCTGCTGCCAGCTGTTGCTTGTTGCTGCCTGACGCCCGTTGTCATTAGCTGTTGATTGCTGCAACCTGCTGCAATCCTCTGATGATGCCTACTTCGACTGGAATGTTTCTCCTACCTTGTGTTTGCTGCTGCAGCTTGGCAATGCCACTTGCTTGCGGTGTCTGCTCCTACTGCTTGAAGGTTCTGCTTGTTGCCACTGGCTGCTAGTAGCTGATGGCGTTGATCGCTCTGCTTCTGCTGGCCCTTGCATGGTTCGAAACAATTGGGGCACCTTGGTGACCTCTTGAAGCCTCATGTGCCGTATTGGCTTACCTGCTTCTCGGTTCCCATGCGCGTCGGATGTCTGCCGCACATGGCCTGAAGCATGCTGGCCTAACAACTTCCTCCCTGACGTTTCGGCTCAGGTGCTTGCTGATTCGCCTCATGTCATGCTTGCCTGTCTGCCTGCTTGCTTGCTTCATCGATTGATTGCTCGGAGCAATTGCTCGTTTGCCTACTGCCGCTGCTTGCCGCACGCTGCTTTGTCCTGTGTGGTGTTCATGGTTGCGGCTTCTTGCTGCAATTTTCGCTGTTGATACTTGCTACTGCTGGTGCTGCGCCTGCTACAATATTTCATTGGGCTTTCCGGAGCTACTATTAGAGGCCTTGGGGCAACAAGAAGCGTCGATGCTGTGATCTCTTGGGAGCTTCTCGTTTTCTGGAGCAATCTTGGGAGCATCTTGGGCATTTCTGCAAACCCAGGGGACTGGAACAAGCAGAGATACCTGGAGGTGCATCATCGGGCCGGAGGAGGGCCATTTGGAGCGCCATTGAAGCCCCTGGGTGCTGGAGCCTTTGGCGGGCTGTGGTGAGAAAGGGTACCGTATTGAGGCCTTCTTGGGGCCATCTTGTAGCCCTCGCGGGGCCGTCTAAAGGCAGTTCTGGAGGTCAATCCAGGCCATGTGGGGCCAACTTGGGAGCGTCTTGGACCCTCGTGGGGGTCTTCATGGGCCCCGGGGGCCCTCGTGTCAACCCGTCGGGCTCTGTGTGAAGCCGCCCGGGAGCAAAAAGCGGGTGGAGACGAGCGAGAACCCTGTCAGGCCTGTCCGGCCCTCCACGGGGCCATGGCAGAGCCCCGTGGGGCCACATTGGCGCCATCTTGGAGGCCTGTCGGGCCGTCGTGGCTGTTCCCTGTAGAGGCTCTTCATTCGGCCGTGGGAGGCCTTCCGAAGGCTCGAGGCTCGACTGCGCCGTCTGGCGACGTCCTTGGACCGCCCAAGGGCCCTGCGGGGTCCTCAGACCTGTGGGGGAGTCCCCCCCTCGCTCCTCGCCGATCCTCCTCCTCCTCCCACGCTCCTCGTCCTCCTCCTCCTCCTCCTCCTCCTCCTCCTCCTCCTCCTCCTCCTCCCCATCCCCTCCTCCTCCCCCCCCTCCTCCTCCTCCGCCTCCTCCTCCTCCTCCTCCTCCTCCTCCTTCTCCTCCAGGGCAAACGAACTTGCACGCACTGGGCCTCACGTTGCAGGTAAGCTGACGGCAGGCTGCACCTTCGCATCCCCCATCTCTCGGAACAGCGACAACGCCTGCTGCCAGTTTCCCCCTTTCTCGCAAGCGCTTATCCCAGCACTGTAGCTGATGACATTCGGCGCCAACCTCGAATCCCGTATCCCACTAAGCAGGAACAATGCCTGCTGCCATTCACCCCCGCTCCCACAGGCATGTATCCCGGCGTTGTAACACATGATGTCGGGATCCACCTTAACATTCCACATCTCGCTGAGCAACACCAAAGCCAGTTGCCACTTCCCACCTTTTTCGCACGCGCTGATCCCCGCACTAGAACTGACGACGTCTGGGTCAAGCCTCGTATCCCACATCTCGCGGAGAAGTGCCACCGCTTGCTGCCATTGCTCTGCTTTCCCGCACGCGCTGATCCCAGCGCTGTAGCTTGTGACACTGGGCTTTAATCTCACCTCCCACATCTCGCGGAGAAGTGGCATCGCCTGCTGCCACTGCCCGGCTTTCTCGCACGTGCTAATCCCCGCGCTGTAACTGAACCGTTGACTACCGTCCGCGAGAGCTGAATCACATGCAAGAGTGAGGATCGCTTGCTTCATTGTCCTCTCGCCTGCTGAACTGCTTGCGTGGTTGCTGGCCTTGTGGCCTGACAGCGTTTGGCCGGACCGCCTGCCCATCCGCAGGCCGCCAACTCCTGCCGCCTGCTGATGCTTCGTGCAATTTATAATTCCATGTTGCTGCAATTTCTAATTCCAATTTCTAATTCCATGTTGCTGCAATTTCTAATTCTAAGTCCAATTTCAAATTTCTACCTCGCCTGCCGATTGTTGCTGCAATTTCTAATTCCATGTTGCTCGTCCTCGCCGCTACGGGTTCCAAAGGCCCGTGACGCGCTGCTGCTCGAGGCGGCCTGGCGCTGCCACGTCTTCTGCTCGAGAGGGAGCCGCGAAGGGGGCCGGGAGAGGAGCGTGGAGCGAGCGGGAGCGAGACGAGGAGCAGGGCAGCTAGCACAGGGGAGCAGTGGGCGAGGAGCGGCGGGGAGCAAGGCGCGAGGTGGCTCAAGGAGCGGCCGACAGACGAGCCTCCAAAAGGTCTCGGCGCGCGCGTGGCCTGCGATACATGGTCGCCTCCTCGGTAAACTTGGGGCCTCTTCGATTAACCTTCGGTGAACTTGCCTAAGACCTTCTTCGGGCCGGATTTGGCTCCCTCTCGGCCATCTGGGCGTCCATTGGGGCCCGAGGGTGTTGTTGTGAGAGTGATCATAGGGCGGTCTGACCGTCTTGGGGCCGTCGTGAGGCCGTCTTGGTTCGTGTCGGGTGCGTCTCGGGTCTTCCCCGGGGCTACTGGAAACCGCAAGGGCCCTCTGAGAGGTCTGGCACCACTGACGGACCAATCTGGAACCCAGAAATCGAGAGTGATATGAACACGGTGGGCACAATCCAGGATTACACGGTTTTCGATTGTCGGGGGCCCTTGGCGGAGCCGTTGTAGACCGTGGCTTGGTGGGGAGGAACGCCGTGCCAAGAATTGAACCCACATGTTCAATGCTCAATCTTTGCGCCATCGTACGGGCCTCTGGGAAGGCTGCCAGGGCACCCGAGGCCCCGTGATGGCCTCTAGGGGGCACGCGGGAAGCCTGTCGGGTGTCGGGGCCGCCGTCTTCGCAAGCCTCGGGGTCGTCAAGGGTGCCGCTATCATGGACAACTGTCGGACTCTGTTTCGGGGATGGACAGACCTCCCTTTGGTAAAACGTGGTTTAGTGAAAACGACCTCGGGCCCAAACCTGGCGGGCGCAAGCCTGGAAAATAACGGCCGCGGCGCCATCCCGAGAACCGAACACGGACAATTCACTAATCGACGTGTCACTGTTAGGAGGTCTGTCCACCCCCGACTGTTTTGCGGCTCGTGAGCGGCTCTTCAACTCTGCCTGGCATGCCAGCGGCCCTCCCGGGGCCACGTGGGGCCCGTCTTGGGCCGTGCTGCGGCCGCCCTGCGCCCGTGGGGCCACTGCGGGGCAGTGCTGCGTTGGGAGCACGCGGGGTGCTTTTTCCAACGTCTTGGGCCCGGGTGGGCCCTTCTACGCCAGAGAGACGTGGAGGTCAAACGGTTGTCAGCCAGCGTGGGCCCCAAACAGTGAGTTCTATACTGCGCTTCGAAGGTCAGAACTGAGCGGTGTCATCGGGGATGGACAGACCCCCCTTTAGTAGAACGTGGTTTAGTGAAAACGACCTGAGGCCCAAACCTGGCGGGCGCAAACCTGGAAAATAACGGCCACGGCGCCATCTCGAGAACCGAACACGGACAACTCACTAATCGACGTGTCACTGTTGGGGGTTCTGTCCACCCCCGATGTAAGCTATGCAGCGTGAGATAAGTGCGGTGCAAGCGAATCTGTGTAAACTGTGTCGAGTGATCTGTACGGTATGTTGACGATCTGCGATGCCTTCGATGTGGTGTGAGCTACGTTGTGTAAGCTTTGTGGTGCGAACTGTGGAAAAAGACTATGCGGTGTCCAGAATTGGGTTGGGGAGACAGATCGAAGAGAAACAAAGACCATCCACCTGAACATCGGTTCCGGTTTCGTGTTTTTGCCGTGCGTGCGAGGCGAAGCTGCAACCGTCGGCAAGAGGAGTGATCCTGTCGTTGCGAGGGCGATGTCAGAGCACATGTTTCTCCTCCCCCTGGTCAGCGGATGTTGGGTCGGGATTGTCCCAAGGTAGTCTGGTGGTTGTCCCGATGGTTGTCCAGTGAGAGCTCGTATCATTGTCCTGATGGTTGTCCCGACGGTTGTCCCGATGGTTGTCACAATGGTCGTCCCGTTCCCGATGGTTGTCCCGACGGCAGATTGATTTATTGATTCTGAAATCGATGATGAGCAATGGCCCCCCCAGCTAGATGGGCACGCCCGTGAGCCTCGCGAAGGCCTCGCGAATGGTATCGATCCCCCCCTCTGTGGTCGTGGCCCTGTGGGCGTGGCATTGTGGAGGGTGCCGCGGACCCCCCCCTCCCTCTCCCTGTGGGTAAAGGCTGTGTCGTCTTTGTCTTTGTCTTTGTCTTTGACTTTACCTTGATCTTTGTCTTTGTCGCCGTCGTCCCTCCATCCCATTTGGGGGGGCGGGGGCTGTGGAACCCTAAGGCCTATCCCATGTGGGGGCGTGGGGGCCTGTGAGCCCATGACCTGGGATCATACACGGATAGGGGTGAACGGGCGGCGGGGACGTCGGCAGTCTGCGAGGCTCTGAAGAAACCCGCCGAAGGTACCGACTTCTTTGTTAAAGCAATGTGGATTGGTCGCGGGGTGGGTCGCGGGTGGGTCGCGGGTGGGTCGTGGGTGGGTCGCGACGTGGGTCGCGGGTGAATCGCGGGTGAATCGCGGGTGGGTCGCGTGGTGGGTCGCGGGTGGGTCGCGGGGCGAGTCGAGAGTGGGTCGCGGTTGGGTCGCGGGCCAAGTCGCGGGGGGGACAACGACAACAAACAACAAACAACAATCCGCACCGCAAAACCTCATTTCAGCCACGCGCCCAGGGATCGTGATTGACCGTTCGGCCACCTCACTCTGATATTGATATAACTATATATAATACACAACTATACATACACATTCGCCTGTATGTATATACATACTTTCCGGCAACTACAATGATCATGATATCGTTAGATTGAGGCAGTCGCATAGACACTGTGATCGATATGTCGATACATGTACACTGCGATCGAACCGTAGATAGTGGGATCGATACCTGATAGAGAGAGAAATCTGGCCAGCGATCACTACATATATCTGTAGATACAAAAACGTATACACCCTTTCATATAGCTAGATGCCAATCGGCCGCTAGATGTTGTCCCGATGGCTGTGCCGATGCTTCTCGCGATAGTGAGCTGCTTCACTGACACTGGAATCGGTAACGATACATATTGTGGGCCAATATATGGACAGGTCGACATCTTGATCTATAGTGAACTTGACATATAGAAAATGTTATCGGTTGATAAATCGTGGGTTCGACTCATCGATTGTAAGATCGATTGATCTATCCGCCACCCTGCCGCGAGGAACGACATGGATTTTCTCCAGGTCCCCATGTGTCCTGTCAGAGGACGGCCCCAGAGGCCCCAAGAGCGCTCCAAGCGGACCCCCAAAAGGACCCAAAGAGGCAACCATCATTTGCTTTCCGAATGCTGTTGGGTATTTTCGCGCACTCGCGTCTTCGGGCCCCAGGCGCTCCAAGATGGCCCCAGAGGCCCCCCAGACCGCCCCGAGACTGCCCAAAGGCCCCCAAGACGGCCCAAGAGGGCACCAAAACGGTCCAAGAGGCGCTCGAGATCGCCGAAAAAAGGCCCCAAGATGGCATGTATTTCTTTCGATCTTTCTCATGGGGGCCATGTTCGAAGGAGAGCGCAGACCGCGCTGCATCTTGACAAATGAGCGAGGCTTCGCAACTGCCCTCGAGGTTGAGTACGAAGTCGACGTAAATAGCTACATGATGCGGCCTACACCTGGCCAGATGCCGCACGGGCCCCGCTGGCGCGAGCCCAGTGCGCGCAACGCCCCTGGAAGCTCGGCTGGCCTCAGGTGCGCGGACTCCTGCCTGAGCTGGTACCTGCGCCACTCGGGCGACCATTATTTCCCCTGCTCCCTCTGCCGCGGCGCTGCCCCCTCGGGATGTTTATCGTCGGAAGGCCGTCCAAAAAATCATGGGGCTGGGGAGTGCACTGCTGCGCGCTCTGACTGCGAGGCGGAGGCGGAGGGGCCGGGGGGGGGGGGGGGGGGGGGCAAGCGGGAGGGGGGCCCGTCTTGCCGGCAGCTCGGCCAGGCACGTGCTCGCGCGCAAGTCCGTCGAGAGCCCCATGCCTTCTTACCGCCGCCGTGCTCCTCCAGGTGCTTGCTGAGCACCCTCTCTGTGGGGCCCGCGAGCCGGCGCCCCGACTGGTCTCTCCCGCCCTCGAACTCCGCGGGCCCGTCGAGCGGCTGGGCGCGACGCGGGCCCGCGTGCCGCATCAGCCTGCGCGTCGGCGTCGATCCCTCCTATTTCTTGCGCGCCTTTACTCAGCAAGCCGGCCTCGTTCGCCGTCTCGCACTTGCCAAGCACCTCGTAGAAGAACTGAAGCATCTCGGCGAAGTGTTTGACCTCTTCCTGCTGCGGCGCGTTAGTGGCGCCCTCGTAGCTCCGTGGCCAAATGCCGCCATGAATCTCTGGGCGTGGGCCGCGCCCCTCGCCTCCTGGTCCACGCTCTCCCCTGGCTTGTCCTCGGCCTCGAGCGCGGCCAAGTCCTCGCCGTGCTTCTGGCCCGCAGTCCGGCTGGCCGCGACAACCTCGACGGCAACCGGACGCTCGAATTTCGCGTGGAGGAGAGCGCCTGGGTCGCCGATGCTTTCGCGCTGGCCAGGGCAAA